TTAATCTTTTTGTTGGAATACATTTTTGATTTTAATTTTTGTTCAATTTGAACAAAATTGACCTCTATCACTCCCCCCCCTTCTCATTTATACAGTGCTTTATCAGAAGAGGTTCTAATAGATAGGCTATGTCTGGCTATGGAGATTCTCAATCATGGTTGTCCCAAAGGCAACTGGACTTTCTTGGGGGGGTTTTCCCCTAGTGTTTCACTTCTCATCCAAGAAGCTTCTTCAGTTCTGAAAAAAAATGTTAGGAAAAAAAACACCTCCCAAGAACAGTTGCCCTTCGGAAAAGCACTTTGGGATAGGCTGTGCCTGATACATGGGCAAACAGGTAGGACCACCCCAGCAAGCATCTCATAGAAACAGCCTTAGAGAAGCACGGAAGTGACATAATAAACAAGCCCAGTGGTGGCGAACCTACGGCATGGATGCCAGAGGCGGCATTCAGAGCCCTCTCTGTGGGCACGCGCGCCATGACCTGGAGATGGCAACTGTCCCTCTTCAACCAGCCACCTGCTAACTCGCCGAGGTCCCACATGGCCGGATGCATCCCAGCATGGCTGGTTTCTCTCCCTCCCAGCCTGTCCCATCTCTCCTGGTCTCACATGCTCTCCTTTTCCCAAGCACAACCCACTGCATCACTTCCTCAGCTGTCAGCTGCCCATCCAGCTCAGAGGCTGCTTCTTTAAACTACTGACGGCGGGCTGTGGAGCCCCAGAGTGTGCCAGTCCAGAGGCCGGCAGGCTGTGGCTGGTGATGGACACCACCGGCCCCCATGCACTCGCTGGCCTCTGTGTACGGGGGCCAATGGTGTCAGGCAGCAGCCGCCCCAGCCCTTGCCTTGGCCCATGGCAATGGCACCCCCACCCTGCCTCACTTCACCCCACAGGATGAGCCTCCTGCCCGTTGCCCCCCTGCCAGAGACCCCCTGGATCTCCCCCAACCCTGCCCACCCCCCTCAGGCATCCCTCCCCACGAGCAACACCTTGGCCACACCCACCCAATCTGCCACGACCACCACAGCCACGCCCACCCAGTGGGCCACGCCCACCTGGCACCTGGCAATAAATAAGTGGGCTTTTGGTTGCAGTTTGGGCACTTGGTCTCTAAAAGGTTCGCCATCACTGAACAAGCCCTTCAGCAGATGCAAATGAGAGTCCAGGATAACTCAAGACATTGATAATGGATTGATATAATTGATGAACTCAAGCGAACATTTTCGGTTCTCACTTCTCATCAGTTCGTCTTAGGTGAGGTGTCCACAGGGCATGGTCAAAAGAAGTCAAGATGGTTTACATGGCGTGCAAGCCAAGTGGAGCAAAGTTGCACATAAAAAACAGAGCTTTGGATGGCAGCAGCCATTCTGCTGCTGCCTGTTTTAGCAGTTGGCTACTGGCATCCACCAAGTGACACCTTGTTTGTCAGTTGTGATTTAATGCATTGCTTTTCAGCTGAACATGCACTTGGCAGTTTGCTAATCCATTAATCCCTAAATTAAGAAAGCAAAAAACATACAGGTGGCATTCCTGAGAGTGACTGTCCCTTTACTCTTCAAGCAACAATCCCCAAAGGGAATAGTTAGATGGGAATAAATGAGTTTTGTAGGGGAGCTGGATTCTGGAGAGCAGGGCTCAGGACAAAGGAGGAATGTTCAGTGACCCCCCCCCCCAGCCCTCCCCCCTTCCTTCCTTCCTTCCTGGGGGCATTTTGCAAGTGGAGAAATGTTCCAATAGAAGTCAGGCTGGGGCTAATCGGATGAGTGCCTCCCAGATTTGCATCCTAATTAAACTTGAATGCTTGCAATTCCATTTCAGCTCACAGCTCTCCAAGTTGGACCAGACTAGCAGCTGGCTTCTCTGGACCCTCCTTCTTGTTTTCTGTATTTCAAGCACCAAGAATGTGTCAAAGTAAAAGGGACTTTCAAGTTTCCCCCATTCAGATAGGAGGAGGAGAAATAAAGCGGCCTTCTGAGAGATTGGTCTCTCTTTGGAGAAATAAAGTGTTGTTGTTGGAGGCAGAGTAGCCAAGGGCGGCTGCCCCTCTTACAATACTTTGTCCCCAGAGTCACTCAGATATTTTCACACCTGAAAGAGAGCACCTCTTCCCTTTTCTAGCAGCAAGCAGATACAAGTCATCTTTGTTTAGTGACTGGCTTCATTTAGCAACTGTTCACAGTTACGGACAGTGATGAAAAAAATAACTTCATAACCAATTCTTGCATTCGCGATCTTCACAGGTCTGCAAAGCAAAGGAAAGCTGTCGAAGCTCATAAGCATAGTTGCAGTTTCACTTAGCAACTGCTTCACTTAACAACTGAGTTGTCATTCCCAACTGTGGTCACTAAATTTGAACTACCTGTACCTAAAAAAACCTCAAGCCCTGATGATGTATTTATTCGTTTCCCCACACTGAGTTCCTAACCCAGACACTCAAGACCAACCTTTTCAGCCATGATCTCATTCTGCCAAAGGCAGAGGTCTCTCTTTGAGAGATGTTGAAACGGTTTTCTTTCTGCCATAATTCCTTCGTTGCAAGGGAAGTTATTTTCTCTTTGGGTTTGGTTTATTTTCTGTACCTCATTGGAAGGAAAAACTGGGCTTTGGGGTCTTCCTACAGGGGAAAAGGTAGATATTACAATTTTTGCTTCATTGGAAAATACTTTAGTGATTCAAACATAATTTATTATGGCTGTGCAATTATTTCCTTCAGAGATTTGACTCAAAGATAATTTAATTAAAACAATGACTTGATTTCCCCCCCCCCGCCCCCGAATTGTATTCCAAACAGTTCTCAACCATCAAACTGAATCAAACATCAATTTGGAAAAAATTCTGGACCATTTGAGAAACTAGCATATGTACAAACATGTTTTTCCCAAAGCCCAGACAGGGTCAAACTGATTTTCTAAATCACTTCCAAAGTTTGGTAATCCAATGGATCTGATTTTCTTGGTGCAGTTCAGAAATCTTTTATCAGCTGAACACTGACCGTTGAAGCACGTTTATCAGTTTGAACAAACCCTCTACAATCTGAAAATGTAGATCGAGACAATAAGAAGGGTCATGGTGGCTGGGGATGATGGGAATCATGCCTTAGAAGCAGGGAGGGAGCAAGACATTCAAAAGGCATTACTTCTTGTGTCTTTACCTCCAGAATCTAAGGAAGGAGGGCACCTATGGGGTTGTATAGTGCCTAGGAGGGGTGATTAACCTTTTGAACAGCATCGTTTAAACAATCTCTCCCCCCTTCTTATTACTGACAGGTTGGTGTAAGAAGCCATAAAACAAGACCCAGTGGACTTAGCTCTCCGCAAATCAAACCTTTCTCTCTCTTAATGGTGTATGTTTATTCTTATCACTGGCACCTTACTCCCAACACGTAGACGGCTTATAGGCTGAGTCAGGGTTTGTAAAATAAGTTTTTCCCTCTCCTTTCAGTGGTGCAACTCAGCAGTGGATGATGGGAAGGCTGAAAGTTTCAAGAAGTCCTCAGACAAGATGTTGCTTAATCAGAAACCTCCTCTGCATAATTTGTGCACAAAGTAGTATTTGGAAGTTGGTGAAAGCCCATCACATCTCTTCCCCCAAGCATTTAATTTTAAATATATTTTATTTTAATGTGTACATTTTTATCTGTATTTTAGTTGTGGTGTTTTGATGTATAGGTTGTTGTTTTTTATTCACATCAGCTGCCCTGATTGTCAAAGAGACAGAAATGCAGAGTACCAATCAAATAAATTTCCTGCTTTATTGAGAAAAAATTGCCACTGCTTTTGGATTTTTTTTTTTAAAAACCCTCCTTAAATAGTTTATGAATACAAGAGCTCCTGGAAGTGTCTGTCCACCCCATCTAATTACCAATTTCCTTTTGCCTCTCTTATAGTTTCAGCCAAAATGCCTAGCAAAAGCATATTTTTCTTCTTCAGACAGTCTTGGCATATGGACCTTACCCAAACTGCAATTGAAAATACCTTTTGTAGTTTGAATATACTGCAAAATAGTAGCATATATATGTAGAATGGTATATAGTATACGTGCGTGTGTAGATTCTGGAAAACAAGCTTATTATGGATAACCATAATAGTTCTGAACAAAATTGAATCCGTGAAAAGTTCAAAATGACTTGCAAACCACGCTTTATGATTCTTACCGGTAGAAATCCTTTAAACCCCAAATCTCATCTATATAAGGGATTTCAGTTATATAAGTTACATGTAGGCCGCCAAGGAAGAGTAAACGCTCTCTGTGCATGCTCTGAGACACTTGTGAATTCTTAGCCCGGACGCTCAAAGCGAAGGCGCTAGAAACAAGTCCGGGTTCTTCACCGCTTTGACTAATGCCCTAATAATACTCCCCACCCACCCATCCAGCTCCGGTGTAAAGAAAACTCCGCGAAGCCCAGCCCTTCGCTCCCTTTCACGCCGAGAACGATTTAGGCGACGAAGCCGGCGAAACCACATTTCTCAAATTCCACGGAAGCTCTGCCTTTAAGTTTCGCCTTTCCCTCCGCGGGATTTGGGGATACCCCGGCGTTTCCTCCGAATCCCACCGCAGCAGCCGGCGATCCAGCTTCCTAAAGTTACAAAAGCGCGCAACTCCACTCAGCCTAAAAACTAAACCCCAACCATTCATCGCTCCCTCTGACGGGGAAGGGGGGGGGTCCGGGGAGGGAGACAAACAGGTTTTGCCTCTCGGCGGCGGCGGCGGCGCGCAGGTTCAAAGGCGTCGCTCGGTGGGGCGAAACTCTCGCACGCTTCCCCTCCCGGCCGCTGACAAAAACACGAGAAAACTTCCATCCCCGACTCGGGGGGGATCCAATTTCCAGGGAGCGAGCAAGCCAGCATCGCGCCCGCGTTCAACACGCCCACAGCTTAAGCTCCTGTTTAGGGCTAAACAGATCCTCGATTGTCTGGCTTGTAAAGGGCAATTCCTCCGCACGATCCGGCTCACAACCGCCGCCCGAGGCCGCGGAGCACACGAGAGGCGAGCGGGGCTTACCTGCTTGAGAACCTGCCGAGCGGACGCTCCACCAGAGGAGCAGCGTTAGCGCGGGCAGGCAACTTCGGATCTGGCGCTTCTTCATGGTTCACCAAGAGGGCTTCGGGTGTCAGTCGAAGAGAGCCCCGTTCCCCGTTTCTCCCGGCCCGGCGTGCGCGGGATTTCGGGCTACAGCATTCCGCTTTGGGATGGGAAAGACGGAGAGGCACCTGATCCAGACCCAAGGCGGACGAGTCAGCTTTGACCGGGGAGGGGGGGGCGATCACTTGCTTCTCTTCTGCTTCATTGGGTCTTTGGCGAACCCCCTCCGTCGACGCCTCTTTTTCGACGCCCCAAAGTGGCCAATTTCCCCCCCCCCACCCGAGCCGCGAACCCGGACTCGTAAGCGCTTTGATCTGTTTTACTCACGCACAACTCACAAATTACACACACTTCATTCACGAGAAACTCGGGCGTCATTGGCTGGGGCCGCGCCGCGCTCTGGCCAATCGGAGGACAGCGAGAGAAGTCCGGAAAGAGGAATGAAAAGCGGAGATTTGTTTTGAGAAGGAGAAGGCGCGCGCGACAGAAGTCGGCTAGCAGTTTATTATACCGTGGTCCGACCGTCTCTGTCGCGGTATAAATGAATGGTGCGTCGGAACCGCAGTCACTGCTTTTGGCCCCTTGAGTTGGATAGCCTTGGTGGAAGGCTAAATAAAAGCGATGTTGTCACACTTGATGGGTTCATTCATGTGCCCACTTTCAAACTGAATTCTTCCTCCTGGATAATTTAAAATTGTCTTTCATTGTCCCACTTTCACCATTTTCTACTACCACCCCTGGATTTCGCCCAGGTTAATGTTCAGCATCTGTCCCCATAGTCAACTCATTTATCATATTTACTAAAGTAAATCTGATCTGCATTAACCCCAGGAGTTGGGTGAACAGCATTTCTTAGGCTAACATTTGGTATCCTACTTTGCATCCTACTTAATGTAGCCTGCCTCAGATATATTATGCTAAGAACATTTTCTTTGAAAAACGTTCCAATGCTAGGAAAGGTGGAAGGAAAAAGAAGGTGGATGACCAACATATAGATTTGTTGGTCTCAGTTACAATGGCAATGGGTGCGTCACTAGAGCACCAGAAAGACCAGTTTAGAGATTGATAACTATGGAGAAAATGTTTGTGATTGCTAGTCCACATTTGGTGGACTGGCTTGTCGCCCAGTGTATCATAAGATCACAATAGCAACAGATAGCCATCAACACTTCCATTTGTTATGGGAGATCCAGGTACAAATCCCTGCTTAGCCACAAAGTTCACCAAAATATATTAGCTTGCTATCTCAATTTAGCTTGGCCTGTATTACAAGGTTACTGGAAGAACATGTGGAATATACATCTTGGAAGATAATGTGCTCATTGAACAAGTCTCCAAAAGGGTTAATATTTGGAAGCTAAGAAGAGGCAGAAAAATGTGAACCTATTAGGAGAAACATAGGAAGCTACCTTGTACAAATTAGTAGCTCCCTTCTTTCAGTGGTTCAGGATTTCATCCCAAGATTTTTAGTACCTGAAGATGGCTAGAGACTGAACCTGGGACTTTTTTCATTTTAAGCATGAGTTTCTCCACTCTCCAACAGTCCCTCCCTGTCTAATGCTACCCCCAAGGAAGTAGCATCTGAACTAGTGAAGGGCACTTAGACCAACCTTACCTACATGCAAAGTAATCCAGGAATTAGAAATGTTGACTTTTAAGTTGAGTAGATGGATTTGATCAAAGTTCAACAGCCCATCCTCTCCTTGCCATTAACTATGGAGTTGATTGTGTAGGAATCTGAGGAAGTCAGCAACAGAGTTGATGAGTGTGAACAGACAATATTTCTGTTTTCCTCTACCATAGCTCGATCTCAGTTGGTTGACCTTCTATCTGGCCAGTTTGGGGGCTGTTTTGCTCACGGTTCCACCCTTTGGGGAAAATAGCCAATTAAAAGTAGCCAATTTACCCTCTATTTTTCTCCTGGGCACTCACAAACTTTCAGAATTCTGGCATCCTGGCAAGAGGGCTGGAATTGTGTCTCATATTTATGAAATCACAAGGTCTTTAAATAGAAGAGTGTCCTCGTTGGCAAGGTCACAACACATGACACAGAGATGATGGCAGAGATTCAGGAGTGGGCGCCCTGAACAATGGCCAGAGTCAAAGGCAAGTGGGAGGAAATGAGATCAGTGTAGCCAGAGAGGGAAAGCAATGTTCAGGGATGCTGGCTGGCTAAGGACTCCCCACCACAAAAGAGATTAAGGTTCACCTGGTTTTGATACACCATTTTGTTGACAAAGACTCTGGACTCATGATAAAAGTCACACAAGACACATAGATCATCTAAGGAAGGTGCATCTCTGCAAAGTATTGTTTTTATGCTTCAAACCACCCAAGTGAGATTTTTCAAAGTTAAATCCAACTCACTTTATAGTTTGTAAACTCCCCGAATTGTCTACAAGCATAACCATTAATAAACTGCATTAATCATTAATAAACTGCCCAGCAATTAAGAACAGAATTTATTTATTTTTTTCTGCACCCAAAGTTGAAACATTGAACTGACACCAGACCCCAGCAACTACTAGAAGGAGGGACAAAATTTAAAGAACAAATGTGGAAAGAGAGATTAAACCCTGCCCCTGTAGCTCAGCTTTATTGAGATACCAAAACATGGCAGAGACAAAATCCCCCACTTATAAGAGCTACAACTTGATATTGCCAATGCCTGTTTAGAAACCCACTTATAATCAGCCTCAATTTTAATCACAGTGAGAGCAGAAGCATAACCAATTTTAGGATATTCCACAAATCCAGTGTGCCCTCAGTTAGGTTACTCTCAGCGCCAAGCCCAGAGACAGCACTCAAAGTCCAATCAAATTCAATCCTTTATTTGCTTCTGCTTAATGGACAGAATCTTGCCAGACACAGGCTATAACCTTCTAATTTCAGGGGTGGCTGATTCAGGAATTCTGGCAGTTGAAGTCCACGAGTCATAAAAGAACCGAAGTTGCCTACCCCTGTACTAGACCTATCCTGAAAATTCTAGAATGTGGCTACACTGAACCTTTTTCCTCTCTCCATGCAGCTCTGGCCTGCACAGTCTCTTGGCCTGGGCCTCTCTCTGGGAAAGCTCTGTGTTGCCAAAAGTCTTCTCCCTCACTGCTCCTCCAGGTGCACCTTCCATCACATCTACTACGAGGTTTTGCAGAGGCGACCTCGATGTGTGGTCAAAAGATGGTGGTTGTCATGGTGCAATTGAACCTCTCCATTTCTATCAGCGTCACATCAAAAAAAAGTAGGTGAAGCTTTAACCACACCAATACAGCCATCTTGACTTGATCTTTTGACTGTGCCTCAGGGACACTCCTTGGATTTCACCAACAGGCACACTATGGACAGCTTTGAGTCATATTTACATTAATTCCCAAATTAAAGCAGTTTCCAGGTATAGCCTAGAATTAATGCAGGTGAACTCTAACCCTCCCGACTTGGTTCAGAAATGAACCACTCTAAACCTGCCACTCGATTCTGTGTATGGCTGAATTTTAAAGCCAGAATTCTCTCCACCCCACCCAAAAGTGAATCACACCGGAAATAGGTGGCAACAAAAAAGATCATTATTGTTTAAACTAATTAGAGCCCCTGGCTGAGTCTTGACCTGGAAGCCAATCCAGCAAGCTTTAGGCAAACCTTGGTAAATAATGTAGAAGCTTTTTGTACTTCCTACTTCCTGCTCAAGTCTTCCTAAGGACTTGATTTCATCTATTTCTAGGTGATTTTAATTCTTTATATTTGAAACAATTTCCATTTTGCCCCCAAATGACTGTTTCTTCTCTTGAGGACTTCCCCCCCCCCCCTTTTATTCTGAATCAAAACAGAAACACTTCCTCGAATAATTACTTTAACCAGCAAAGAAATATCTCAGGGGCTGCCACAAAGAAGAGGGAGTCAAGCTATTTTCCAAAGCGCCTGAAGGCAGGACAAGAAGCAAAGGATGGAAACTAATCAAGGAGAGAAGCAATCTAGAACTAAGGAGAAATTTCCTGACAGCTAGAACAATTAACCAATGGAACAACCTACTTCCAGAAGCAGTGAATGCTCCAACACTGGAAGTTTTTAAGAAGAGACTGGACAACCATTTGTCTGAAATGGTATAGGGTTTCCTGCCCGAGCAGGGGGTTGGACTAGATGATCTCCAAGGTCCCTTCCAACTTTATTATTATTATTATTATTATTATTATTATTATTATTATTATTATTATTATTATTATTATTATGGATCATCGCACAGTCAGCCAGATGTTCAGACTGGATTTGGCATTTTGTCTACCTATTCCTTACCCAGGACCTGGGATAGACAGATGTGGATGTTTGATGGTATTACAGATATCATTGCAGGATGGAAGCAGTTCCTAGTAAGGCCGCCTTTTGCAATTGACTAATAGGCGAATTTGTCAATGCCAATGGTGTTCAAGTGGTGCTCCAGTTGTTTTGGGATTGCACCCAAGGCGCCTATTACTATTGGTACTACCCTTGCTTGCTTTTGCCACAGTCTTTCTATTTCTATTTGTAGGTCTTTGTATTTTGTTATCTTCTCCAGTTCTTTCTCGTCTATTCTGCTGTCTCCAGGCACTGCCACGTCCACTATCCAGACTTTTTTGTCTTTCTTATCGACAATTGTTAAGTCTGGGGTGTTATGTTGCAGGTGCTTGTCTGTTTGAATTCTGAAGTATTATGATGATGATGATGATGATGATGATGATGATGATGATGATGATGATGGATCATTGCACAGTCAGCCAGATGTTCAGACTGGATTTGGCATTTTGTCTACCTATCGAGTCCTTACCCAGGACCTGGGATAGGCAGATGTGGATGTTTGATGGTATTACAGGTATCGTCGCAGGATGGAAGCAGTTCCTAGTAAGGCCGCCTTTTGCAATTGACTAATAGCGAATTTGTCAATGCCAATGGTGTTCAAGTGGTGCTCCAGTTGTTTTGGGATTGCACCCAAGGAGCCTATTACTATTGGTACTACCCTTGCTTGCTTTTGCCACAGTCTTTCTATTTCTATTTGTAGGTCTTTGTATTTTGTTATCTTCTCCAGTTCTTTCTCTCTATTCTGCTGTCTCCAGGCACTGCCACGTCCACTATCCAGACTTTTTTGTCTTTCTTATCGACAATTGTTAAGTCTGGGGTGTTATGTTGCAGGTGCTTGTCTGTTTGAATTCTGAAGTCCCAGAGCAGTTTAATTTTATCATTTTCTATGACTTTCTCTATTTTATGATCCCACCAGTTTTTGCTTACAGGCAAATGATATTTTTTGCAGATCTTCCAATGCACCATTGTTGCTACTTTGTCATGCCGCTGCTTGTAATCAGTCTGTGCAATCTTCTTGCAACAGCTTACCAAGTGGTCCACTGTTTCTTCAGCTTCTTTGCATAGGCGGCACTTACTGTCTGTTGCTGTCTTCTCAATTTTGACTTTGTATGCATTTGTCCTTAAGGCTTGGTCTTGTGCAGCCAGAATTAGTCCCTCGGTCTCTTTCTTCAATTTTCCTGCTCTTAGCCATTGCCAGG